ATGAGGTCAGGAGTTTGAGACCAGCCTGGCCAGCATGGTGAAACCCCGTCTCTACTAAAAATACAGCAGAATTAGTCAGGCATCTGTAATCCCAGCTACTCGGGAGGCTGAGGCAGGAGAATCACTTGAACCTGGGAGGCGGAGGTTGCAGTGAGCTGACATTGCGCCGTTGCACTCCAGCCTGGGCGACAAGAATGAAACTCCATCTGAAAAAAAAAAAAAGAAGAAGAAGAAGAAAGAAAGAAAAGATACAAATAGTATTGCAGCAGTAAAGGTGAGGACAATTACAAACAGAGATGAAGTCTTCAGAGAATACCAAAAACAACTTTATACCAATGTGCTTAATGCTTTTATATAAAAATATAAATTACCAAAACTGACTCAATAAGGAGTAGAAAACCTAAACATTTACCACTGAAGAATTTGAATTAGTACCCAAAAGTATCCTCCTATAAAAACAGCAGGCCTAGAGATGTCACAGACTAGTTTTAGCAAACCTTTAAGGAATGAGAAAATCTCATTTAAACTATTTAAAAGGATCAGGCTGGGCGTGGTGGCTCACGTCTGTAATCCCAGCACTTGGGGAGGCCGAGGTGGGTGAATCACTTGAAGTCAGGAGCTCGAGACCAGCCTGGCCAACATGGGGAAACCTCATCTCTATTAAAAATATGAAAATTAGCTGGACGTGGTGGTGCATGCCTGTAATCCCAGCTACTCAGGAGGCTGAGGCAGGAGAATTGCTTGAACCCGGGAGGTGGAGGTTGCAGTGAGCCGAGATGCACCACTGTGCTCCAGCCTGGGCAACAGAGCGAGACTCCATCTTAAAAAAAAAAAAGGATAAGAAGCTACCTAGCATTTTTATAAGACTGGAATAACACTTTGATATCAAAACCTGGAAAGGAAAACACAAGAAAATAAAAAATAGGCCGGTGTTGCTTTTGAACAGAGCTGTGAAAATCTAAATAAAATACAGTAGTCTCATCATATTCGTGGGGGAAATATTCTAAGACCCCCAGTGGATGCCCGAAATGTCATATAGTCCCAAACCTGATTGCCATCAACAGAAACACCTCTATTTATATCTTTCGCCCACACATGTCATCCTTTTTTCATCTTAACTGAGCATTTATGCACTGTGGCCATAACTTTTGCAGTTTGAGGTGCAACAGCAAAACTAGCAATAATTTTCTTTTTCCTTCTTCACAATTTCATCTGTACCATGGATCTCAGCAACCTTAGCATAGAATTTTCTTTCCTAATTAAGAACTTTCACCTTTCGACTTAAAGGAGGCACTTAACAATTTCTCTTTGTCATATCCGAAGTGCCAGCATCACTCATGGGCCTCGCACTTTGGGGCCATTATTAGTATGATAAGGGTGAGGGTGACTTGAACACAGGCAGTGAGATACTGCAATGGTCCATCCGATCACCGCGATGGCCGCTAAGTGACCGATGGGTAGGGAGCGTGTAGGGCGTGGATACGCTGGACAGAGGGAGAATTCATATCCCAGGTGGATGGACTGGGATGGTGGAAGATTTCATCATGCTATTCAGGACAGCACAAAATTGAAAACTTATGAATTATTTCTGGAATTTTCCATTTAATATTTTTTTGGCCGTGGTCGACCGCAGGTTACTGAAACTGGGGGAAGCAAAACCGTGGATAAGGAATGGAATTCGGCCGGGTACCGTGGCTCACCCCTGTAATGCCAGCCCTTTGGGAGGCGGAGGCGGGTGGATCACCTGAGGTCAGGAGTTCGAGACCAGCCAGGCCAACATAGTGAAACCCTGTCTCTACTAAAAATATAAAAAATTAGCCAGGCATGGTGACGGGCACCCGTAATCCCAGCTACTTGGGAGCCTAAGGCAGGAGAATCTCTTGAAACTGGGAGGCGGAGGTTGCAGTGAGCCAAGTTCGCGCCATTGCACTCCAGCCTGGGCAATGAGAGCGAAACTCTGTCTCAAATAATAAATAAATAAAAATAAAAAATAAAAAAATTCAGGATATTAAAAATAATATGTCAGAAGTAAGTGGACTTTTACCCATGGAATCAAAAAATGGCTCAACAGAAATGTAATTCACCAGGTCAACAGATTAAAAACCATATGGTTATCTCCTCAGATGCAGAAAAGCATTCAGTAAAATCCAGCATTTTCATAATGTGCTAAATGAATCAGGGGATCAGGCTAAATTTAGACTCTCATGGTGAATCCTGTTATGAAGCAGATTTCATCCCACTTAGATTTTGAGTAAACCCAGATTTTGAAATACTAGGTTTTCTTTTCATAAAGGTTTAATTTCATGACAGAACCCAAATATATCCAGAAGCTGTGCTCAGTTCTTTGGGAGAACAGAAAAACCTACAAACAAACCAAAAAATAATGGCGACCTTATTTGCATTTCCTGTATTTCAGTGGCAGACAGATGTATCAGGCATGTTTTTTTGTTTTTGTTTTTTTTTGAGATAGAGTCTTGCTCTGTTGCCCAGACTGGAGTGCAATGGTGTAATCTCGGCTCACTGCAACCCCTGCTTCCCGGATTCAAGCGATTCTCCTGCCTCAGCCTCCCAAGTAGCTGGGATTACAGGCACCCACCACCACGCCCAGCTAATTTTTGTATTTTTAGTAGAGACGGGGTTTTACCATATTGGCCTGGCTGGTCTTGAACTCCTGACCTCATGATCCACCCTCTTTGGCCTCCCAAAGTGCTGGAATTCCAGGCGTGAGCCACCGCCCCCAGCCAGGCGTGTTCTTTACGTAGCTGCCTCCCCAGCCATACCTAAGTAGGATTCCGTTTTCGCACCATGTGAGTGTGGTACCCTCAGAGAGTCCTGAAGCCAGTGTCCTGTGTGCTGCGATCTCAGCCACCTTCCTCATTGACCGTTTCTTTTCTTTTCTTCTTTTTTTGAGATGGAGTCTCACTCTTGTTGCCCAGGCTGGAGTGCAGTGGTGCAATCTCGACTTACTGCAACCTCTGTCTCCCGGGTTCAAGCGATTCTCCTGCCTCAGTCTCCCAAGTAGCTGGGATTTACAGGCATCCGCC